GTAGGCCTCAATTTCGGACTGTCTATCTGTATCTAGACTGTCCCCCTGACTCGAATCTGGACTGAGACTTAACTCTTTGATTTCCTCTTAGACAGACACATCCTTTGCACGAACAAACATCTTTACTGCACGAAAAGACACATTAACTGCACGTACAGACACATCCCTGCATGAATAGATATGACTTGCACACCCCCTGAATGAACAGATGTGACCCAGAGATTGCATCTGTTTGTCCAGGGGCACAACTGTGACCTTTGGCAATGTCTTTTGCTTTAGTTTAGGATGTGACCTTTGACCCAGAGAACATGCCTTTTGATCTGCTTTCACGAATTGGGCTTTGGGCGAGGTACCCCAATATGCTGCTCTCGTCGAACAGGGGCTGAATCGGGTAAAGGCCCTTTTTTTATATAACAATGTTGTGGACAGTAGTACTGGTCGTACTCCCAACCAATTGCACCTTGGTTGGAAGCCCAGAACTGCACTCGACTTTTTGCTACCAGAAAAACAACCCACTGCAGCACCTAGCAGCATAGAGTTTGCCGTCAAGTATGAGCAGATGCTGGGGATATCTCGCAAATTGATGCCACAATATTTTGGGCCATGGGAAGTCCTGGATATAGTTGGAGATCAAATGATGGGCCTTCCTATGTGATCCGCATTCCTTCTCACCTACGCACATACCAGTCTTTCACGCATCCAAGCTAGCACCTTTCGTAGAAACTACACAGTTTCCCTCCAGAAGGTCAATGCTGCCCCCAACCATGGACGGAGAAGTTGATATCGACGACATCGTGGAGCACAGCATCATGCCAGTACCGAAACCTCCCGGCAGAGGCCGGCCTCCGAAGCCCAGGATGCAGTATCGTGTCCGGTTCAGACACCATATTGATCCTAGCGAAGACCGGTGGTTCACCAGAGAAGAACTGCTGCAGACAGCTCGCCAAGTAATCGCAAGTTATGAGAAGAAACTTAAAGGGAGGATGCCTGCAGACTGAAGAACTTTTCAGAGGACTATCAAAGCAAAGGAGGGAATGCGAGGATCAGGCTCCTCGGCAGGCCTAAGGGGCCCTTACATCAGATGTGCCCACCCTAAGTGAACGCGGGCCTGGCAGAGCACAAAGGCCCTCACTGTCAATTTCACATTTTGGGATTCAAGCACTTGCCAGTTTGTGCGGCACCGCTGCTGCGTGCTGCTGTGCGTGTGCGGTCGTGCGAGAAGAAGGGCGCTGCCCTCAGCCCAGCCTCCATAGCTGGTTGGGGCTTGGACTGCAGTGAGGCGCAAGGGTGGTCTTCGGGTGTACAGAGGGAAGACGGGGGTGAAAGTCGAGGGAGAGAGAGAAGGATGATGATGATGATGATGATGTGAGGACACATACCTGGTATTGGTGATGGTCTGCTTTTGTCGACATCTCCAAGTACTTCGTTGGCTGCTGACGTCAACAGTTGCATTGTCAATTAGTAGGCAGGTAGTAGCTGTGTCGGGGGTAGGCTGGGCGCCGAGCGCGAAGTAAGGAGAAGGGCCTGTACACTTATGTTGGTGGTGGCGAGAGCAAGCTCCCATTGACATTTGGTTTTCAGTGTTACGATTCTATGCTGCTTTCTGGACACTGTGATACTTTCTGGCTTTCAATGTGATTGTGCAATCTGGATATTGTCATCTCACTATTGCTCATTTTCCTTGCATCTCTCTCTCTCTCTCTCTCTCTCTCTCTCTCTCTCTCTCTCTCTCTCTCTCTCTCTCTCTCTCTCTCTCTCTC